TTAGACTTGTTTCAGATTTCGTTATTATTGTTGTGGCTGCAGACAAAATTCTAAAATTTGAAGAGTTACCCTCGTCAGCTTCTCTCCTATAGTGCCCTATAAGACCGTCCTACTACTCTTTCTACTGTAACCTCAACCAGTCCTTGAACCTACAGCACCAACCTATAGTTACCTTGATACCTTACTTCTCACTCAAGACTTCTTCCAGCCCTAAGTCTGTTACGTACCGTCTTGCCTTGAATTGATGCCAACTCTAGTGCATGAAAAGAATGCTACTTAGCTGTAGTTTATCTACCTAAGCCTATTAACAGGGGGAAATACTTAATTACTAATCGTGCGTTACTATCCTTACTACTAACTAGTTTATTACTCATAAACAAAATAATACAACAAACAAGAGATAATAATTAAAGCGATTCAGATCGTATTATACACGATAAGGTGATATAATAGGCGAAGAACCTTTGATAAAGAAAGAGTAATATACACACAAGTAACTGCTTATGAGCACGTACAAAAGGAGAGATGCAATAAACCCGAGAGAACAATCCACTAGCTTTGATCGTGATGAAACTGAACTTTACTGGTTGTCACTCCCTATTTATACCTATCCCACCGTTGACATGACCCTGGTAGTATGCTCCTCCGAGAGCGTCCCCTTAGGGAACATAGTCCCGTCGGTCACTTACTGTAATAAATGCCGTTTCGCGTATGGTCGCAACAAGTATACTTTATTAGTTCTCGAAACTTTAAAGAGTTTGCTTCTATTAGCAGAACATACTTTGGTTAAAAATCAAACCTGATAGTCTTCCTTAGGTTTGTAAAAAGTTTGTCGTGTAAAGTTTTGCGGCTTCATTGCTGATCATTCCAAAAGTAAAAAATTTTTTTTGTGGAACGAACTGTATTTGTTAAAAACTTACGTTATTAGTACTTTTACTTCTGCCTTATTTAGAGACATCTGTTCTCGAAGCTCTAGCACTGATGTCAATTGTTGTGTGCTGCATAACATTAATTGTGCTGGCTTTAAAGCCGAGGATAAAATTCGAAAGACGTGTGCCTATTTTCTTCAGAAATCAAAGTGAAGACCAATTGTACGCTAGCGTATCACCTATAGTTGATTATGACGAACAATATGATATTTATAATGTTTCTCGAATAGAAAATTTAGTTGCTAAGCTTGAAACATTATATGATAGGCTGGAAGATATCTACAATCCTTTACATACTGTTCACGCTCAGTTAGATGAACCTCAGTGAAACTATAATGATACTTATTACAATATGTTTCTTTTTGCGGTCTCACGTAACTGAATTTGGTAGCTGCAGAAGTGTTCTGCGTAATACTAGAGAGTTTTAAAATTTGTTTTCCAGTTGAGTCTAGTTGCTGATTTTGATAAAATGGCTATCTTGGTTGAAAAGTTTGAAGTGCAGAAAAGCACTAATGATGCAAATTATAAGCAAATTTACAAACACTATTAGAAGAAAGGACTGCTGAGTGAGAACTGTGATCCGCTGTTTTAACTTTAAAAGCTTTATCACTGTTTTGATATCAGGTTGAAGAACGTCAGTTGTTGATATGAAAGATACTGTTTTAATTGTTGTTTTCACTGTGTATTGTTCTAACTTTCTTTCTTAACCTTATAGTTTTGTAGTACGATTTCAAGATAACTTGCCGTGTCTTTGGTGTTTCGTTATTCTAACCGTTGAGTTTCAGAAGGTGCATTTTGACTTTTCTCAAATAAGAAAAAGAAAAACAGTGCTATTAAAAAAAGCTTAGAAGTTTATGAAAACCAGAATAAACGACCTTTTAGTTTATTCCAGCTTAGGTTTTGAAGATTAGATTTTGCTCTTTTAGCCAACTGTTGGTTATTTGTGACCATGCGCTTTCTTAAAACTTGTGGTTTTTCCAGCTTCAGAAAACATCCGGTAGTTTTTAAAAATTATATGACTGCTAAGCATACTGACAGATCAAACTCTGTTAAAAAAAATTTTTTTAAAGTTTATTTATACTCATCATCTTTGAAGTCTTAGAAGCGAGGAAGTCAGAGAATAGATAGAAATAACACTGCATTTCAGAAGTTGTTTAAACTTTTTATTTGAAATAAAGAATTAAAAGATAAAAATTTTGAGCATTTAACTGTTCCACTTGTTTAAATTTAAAAATTTTGGACTATTCTGTATGGTTCTGTTATTAATAGTGTTATTCAGCAGTAGAAAAGCCACATTAGGTGATTTTAGCCTTTGCTAATGAGGCTGTTCGAAATAAAATTATTTAAAACAAGGAGTTTGACACCTGAGCCCAACAACCGATTTTGTAAAAATTTAATCTTTTAGTTCTGAGAAGCATTAGGGTTATCTTTGTTTTTCTGTCAATGTTCCTCTTCAAGAAAGAAATTATTCGTTGGTTGTTCTTGTTCCTCTCACCAAAATTTCCTCTCTTTTCTCGCGCATTTAATTTTTTTCTGCGCAGTTTTTCTCGTGTATTAACAAAGAGTAACAGACTGTAGTAAAAGAGAGACAAGTTTTTTAAAGGTTTTGAAAGAGTGCTTACAGGGAGTAAACAAAACAAAATTCACAGTAGTACTGTGCCGTTTTTTCATTCTCAGCAACGCTGCAGACCGAAACAGGCGAAAAGCGATGGTTTTAAAAGCGCAGCTGCTTTTTAGCTACAGGCAGAACTCCAAAGATTTGCAGATTTGACTTCGACGTCTCCTCTCCTACAGCGCCTTATTAGAACCTTATTTCTACAGCCTTTACCGTGGGTGTAATTAGCTCTTACTGTCTACAGTACCAATCTTAACTCCCTGTATTTCGTCTTTGAGCTTAAGACGTTTACAAGTTTTAAGCTCCTTTTAATGATCAAATAACTTTATTTTTCATGCTGGAACTCCTGCTTCGTTGACTTTAGGAGAATTTGATTTAACCCTTAGGTTAAATCAAATTCTCCTAAAGTCTACGCCCATTGGCTGAGTGTTATGCTCTATGCGCGTTAATAATCTCAGTACTAACCACTTTAAAATAATATAATAGATACGAACTCACGATAGCAGTGTCTATACCTACTATATGCTCCACAGGGTAATAACAGGAAAACAAAATACGAAGCGTTTTAAATAGAATAGCACACAGTAACAATATCTGCCAATGGGCAAGTGAAAACAGCTTGAATAAGAAAACTACAAGAAGACTGATCGATGTCGAATAAAACAGAGAAGAACCACAATGAAGATTCACTCTCTGTTTATACACCTGTCCCCCTTTTGTAGTGATCCCGTCTGCTGTCCCTCTGAAAGCATCCTCCCAGGGAACATGGAGTAGCCGATCACTTCATAATATAAAGTTGCTATTTCGCGTCTGGTCGCGACAAGCCGAGTGGTTCTGATCTATGTGTTCAATAAATTTTTTTTGTTAAATTTAGTCTTCTATAAAAAAGTATTCCTTAGTTTTATTGTTACTGAGAGTTTATATTTAGTGAATTTACTTTATATCAGTGAAACAAAAAAAAAAAAAAAAAAGAAAAAAAAAACTGAGTGTGGAGGCGTCAAAGTATCTCAGTTTTTTCTTTTTTTCTGTTTTAAACACCTAAAAACTGCATCTTTTACCTTTAACTATAAGCTATTTAATTGTTAATTACTTTTTTTTATTTTTATGCTTGAAATAAGCTTGATCAAAAAGAAGATTTCTCCTGAGCACATTTTGCTACGACGCTTTCAGAAACTGCTGAATATGCCAACAAAAAAAAAATAAACTTTCTATTTTGCTTTACAGCTTAGATAAGGCTTACCCATCCTAACAAATGATTTTTTTTTTTCAAATAAACCAAGCATCTTCACAGAGTATAGCACTGTAGAAGGTATTCTCAGTTTTTATATTGCAGGGCAAGAGTTAAAGCTTGACTTATGTGGAAAAAAGGCTAGCTTATAAATCTATACAATTCTTTTACATTTCAGAGTAATAGTGCAGTAAAAAATTACCATGAGTTGTCTATAGATATTCGGTTCAAAACTCCTCTTTAAAATCAAAACTTGTTTGTAGAATTGACGGATACTGATTAATACGTTGTAAAAGTACGTGAAGTTGTCATTTTTAACTTTATTTGGGACTTTCATATACTAGTCAGAACATAACACTTTTTTCTTGATACTGTTTCTTACAGCTTTTCTACTCTATAATGCCTTTTCTACGAGTCAAAACAGCAGCATCTTATTTAGAGCGCATAGTCTAGGTGTCTTAAACGGTTCTTTTAAAAAATACAATAATTTGCGATTTTTTTACGGAAGAAACAAGTTTAGAGTTTCTAAGGAACAGAAATAGACTCGACAAATATACAATATGAGCAAGATGTACCTTGAAGTCGACGGGGAGCAGTTTAGAACGGGTATTTGACAGTCTCATCACTACTGATTTTTCATTTAAAAGTTTACGCACTAAAATGAATCTGACATTCTTCCTGGTTACGTTAAAACATATTTTATTTAGCGCATGACTTTTTTTCTTCTAATTAAATGGCTTGAAAACAACATAACAAAATTTCCTTTTCGTTTTTATAGCGTACTATTTCTCCAATTTTTCCTCTTTTCCATCAGTTCCTTTTTTGATTCATATGCAAAACACAACTTTCCAAACTTTTTTTTGCTCTGACGTGACAGAGAAAGATGTGAACTTTAAAGAATCGATCAAACGTATATTTAGCTTGTCCAGGAGGTGATAAGTGTTAAGCTTAAAGTTCTTGAATCATTGCTCATGTTTGGTTTATTTAAAACAAAAAGTGAAAGTAGAAGAGAGCATATTGTTCTCTTCAATATTTTCAAAACTCTTAGAAACATCGTTTTGAACTTTATTGAAAATTTTTTGGCAGCCATTTTCAAAAAGTTTTATGAAGGATTCTTACTTAAACTCTTTTACAGATAAAAAATCGAATATATCATTAACTTAATTAAAACTCTACATAAATAATCAAATAAAACTCAAACAATACTGCGAAGAGCTCTTTGCTAATTTGGTGGTATCGCAGTACCCTATTTAAGATAAAAGTGGTAGACTAATGTCTTACAACAGGCTTTAGAATCATAAAAACAAGAACTTAAAGAATAATTTTCAAAGAAATTTCAAACAGCTCAAACAAAAAAAAAAAAAAAAAAAAAAAA